TTGGGGGGGGAAACACATAGATGCTTTTAAAGTTGTAATAATGTTTCTCAAACCAAAAGTGTTTTATTAATATGCATACACAGGGGTTCATTCACAAAAAAGGTAGGCTAATATACTGTATATTGCATCCTCTACATAACATGCATAATATTGCATCCCTAAAAAGAAAAAATGCTATTTTTGCTGTATTAATATAGGCAAAAAAAAAATCAAGAATACTATATATTGCAATTTACCAACCCGTTGCATGTCGTTTGCAAACCGTTGGATAGTTAATTAATTGTGGATAAACTCATACAACCGCATAAACTAGGCTTTTTACATTTTTAAATGATAATAAATGGATGTTTTATTATTGTTTTCATAACGAACGGTTTATTGCTAGGCATACACAAGAGTGTGTTCATTCACTAAAATGTAATGTGCGTTGCATCCTCAGCTACGATTAAGCATCATAAGACCTATTTATGCATTAAAAAAAGCCATCATTCCGCGATGGCGTCATTATCGACTCATCTCTGCCGGGACTCGAACCCGGAGCCTCTGGATTAGAAGTCCAGCGCGCTATTCCATTGCGCCACAGAGACTGAGGCACACGATGTAGCGTAAAGCGAGGTCATATTCTGCATCAGTACCGCATCCTGCAGCATCAGGACCAGTGCGCTGCTCGTGCGTGTAAATGCGTCATGACCCGCTAGGGGGCGCACCCGCGCCTCTCTCGTCTTGACGTCGTGCGGCAATGGCGCCACAGCCTCCCTCATCATCCAAAAGCGAAATAAACATGGTTTATTTTGATCACTTCTTGAAAACGACAATCATCCAAAAAAATCTCAGCAACTCTATAAAGCCATTATGTTATTCAAATTACTACCATAGCTCAAACACTCTAATTATTGCGCGAGGTTTACTTTTAATAATCAGCTGTGCAAACGTTATTCAAGAAAAAAACCTTAAGAGAAATAAATAACATTACCTGAAAAGCGTCGTTTTCTGTATGATGTCCGTAATTTATGTATCATCGGGTTTCAGTAGTAGGTTAATTATTTGTTTGTTGTAAAATTAGCCCATTATAAAACGAATTAACCTGCCCATCACTTTAGATCGGGGGTTTTCAAGCTCTAGAAGAATAACTATATATTCGTAAAATGTTAAAGGCAGCTATTTTCGTGCATAAAGATCCATTTAGAGTGATATTTACAGTAAACATGATATTAGGCTATAAATGCATTAAATTTGTTTGTATACTGTCAAAAATGGAAAATAGGAAACTAGGCTATCTACTATGTATTAAATTAACAGTGAATTATCTTCACAATTAGAGTACTGTTGAATGTATAAACCTGAAGTGAAACGTTTTCAATTTAATTTGTACAGCACTCACAATAAATATTATTACAACAAAGGCACTTTGCAGAGAATAGTCAGTGCCATAACCTCCAGGAGATAAAGGCAACAGTGGAAAGAAGAAATTAATGACCATAGCCTATCCAAGCTTTCTGAGGCACACGATGCTGCGTAAAGCGAGGTCATATTCTGCATCAGTACCGCATCCTGCAGCATCAGGACCAGTGCGCTGCTCGTGCGTGTAAATGCGTCATGACCCGCTAGGGGGCGCACCCGCGCCTCTCTCGTCTTGACGTCGTGCGGCAATGGCGCCACAGCCTCCCTCATCATCCAAA